TAATATGTATGTATATATGCACATGTGGTTATTGATTTTGGTTTCATATATTTGTTGATTGTAATAATTATCGTGTATTGAGTGTATTGTCTATATTTGTAAATATATGTATATTATATCAAATTAAATCCATGTATTTATCGACAGATTGACGCTCATGGTGTTGCATACGTACTTCCAGACATTTTGTCGGATGCATCCGGGCTCATGTCTATATAAACAATATATATATATACATATATTCCTATATGATATAGTTCAAAATTTGGATCTCCATCTCAAAACCAATATGCAAGCTTGCATCTTGTATTGAGTATTTATGAATAAATACACCTCATATTCCAGTCATACAGGTCATAAGGTACATTTAATGAATATATAGTACGAATAACAACGCGTTCAGATCCAATACGTGCTCTGTTTTCCGATGTCTGACGCACGTGGGTTAGCAGACGTGACAACTTCAGTCTTTTTCCGCAGGAGTTTCACATTCACTTGTGAGTCGTACGCGTGTTCATGCCACATCTAACATCTCTTTATTGTTGATTTGCCCATATGCCATACCACATTACTAATAAATTCCTCGCGCTCAAATTGGCTTCACCTCGTCGCGATCTCATGCGATTCAGAACACAACTTCTATCTGTTTCAGAAAGAATGAGTCTTATCATGAATCGGGCCTGTGCTCGAACCACATCTTAACTCGTTATGAATGAACACCACCGTTACCATGGTGATCATCATAGATCAGCTCCAACGCCCGTCATCAGCATCCTGTCAGTTTAGGTGTAGTCACACGAAGGCGGTGGTATCAGATGTAGACTGGTCAGGTGTGTACACGAATGATAGGTACAGCGAGGTCCCATCTGTGTATGCATGCCTCCATGGCTGACGAACAAGTTTACCTGTTTATCCAGATACACACGGGCACCTGTTTATTCAGATACACTCGGGCACCTGTTTATCCAGATACACACGGGCTACATCTTCTACCCAACACCCGCTTACTGTATTTGTTATAGCGGGAAAATCAGGCGATGTCCGACTCACAGGGCCCGGCCATTGCTGGCGGTATTGTCACTGGACTTATCAATGAGCCAGCGAAAATCACAACACACAAACTGGTCTCCATAGCAACACCAGCCAATTGCACACACCACCGGAACCTCTACACAACCATCTTGTATACACCTCAAACGGGATATGTATACATTCTATCACTGTGCGAAAACCCTCTTGCAATACGTTTAAAAATAACACATCCGCTACGCACAAGCCACACCATACACGTACACACACCTGAAAATGGGCATAGTCAGCTGGACGGCCTCATACATCTTGGCACAGGCATTGCCGGCTTCAAGGTATATGCTTGTCGACCCTAGATCAATCAGGTCCCCTAGAGTCTCCAGGCGTGGAGCTTGATCGGCGTCCTCTGCGACTAATATATCTCGCTGTAGAAGTAGATGGTGTGTGAAGTAAATCAGACCATGCAATAGGAGTAGCGTAGGTAGTTTTTCAGCTATAGTAGGCGTCTGAGTGGGTGGAGCTGCCGGTACCGAGCACTCGAATAAAAGCCCATACAACCTTTATTTGGCATGTGAATTCTGATACATATAAGTCCCTTACTTCACGATTGGTTTAAACGTTTGAAAACTGGATGCTATGGAGAGGCCGCATACAGTACTTGCCATACAAAGTGTAGGTGTACGTCACCCCTCCGGCCTACAGGTGGTCATGCTGGGTGTCTTGTGTCTTATTGTTTCCTGTTGTTCCGTACGAACGGATGGGCTTGACTCAGGATAGGTACACACCAGGCATGGATAAGACACAAACACCGGGTGGCAACCATGTCATTATTGATGTACACGATACGACTTGCCTGTCATAGGAGGTTGGGGGTATCCGCCTAGCTTTTTAGAGCGAAAGCTAAAAATGAGAATCACTACCGGAGGAGGGGAGGGGAGGCGTGGCTTTATCTCAATGACTATCTTTTGGACTTTGTATACATGTCAATAGGATTTTGTATACATGTCAATAGGATTGATACTTTACCTCGGCCTATACAATACAATACAACACAACACTTCACTGTATCGTGCATTTCCCTCGACTGTAATATGCCTAGCTTCCCATCCCAGACGCCACAATAGCTTCGTACCAATCATCGTCAAACACGCCCACAAAACACGAAACATAGACCTACAACCAGACGTAGACCTCCAACGTCCAACCGCTACAATCAGGGCTAGCGTTGCTGTACAACTCATAAACCTAAAACCCAAAACTTTAGAAACCCGACCGTTACAATCAGGGCTAGAGTGGCTGTACAAGTAACCACCTCATAATCCTAAAACCCTAACCGTTACAAGCAGGGCTAGCGTGGCTCTGCAAGTAACCCCCTCATAAGCTACCTTCGCCAGGATTGCCATGAGTCTGTCGTTGTAGCGATCGGAGAGTGCGCTTGTCTCCGTCTGCGCCCACACACCCAGATTCCTGACGACGTTGGCTGTGTCGAGTATCTCCTTCTCAGTCACTCCGTCCTAATGCATACAGCCAACAGATGTTAGTCAGGTGATAGGTGTTAATATAACACAGTGTCTGGTGCTACGAGTACGATGGAAGGGGTCGTATGCTACATCCTATACCTTGCAATCATGTTCGTTCTCGCAAACCACCGATGCGCCAGTGTACCCACACCTTTCAACTGATGTCAAGTGACAAGGCAGACGCACGCCATCCCCCACACGAACATGCAACGCTATACACACCTACAGAAAATGTACCTGACTCTTGCCTACCTACTAACGAAACAATGCCCATACTAACTCCGCGCGACAGAAGGACACATCTGTTTGGATTCTTCGCCTACCTACACAATCGCATACCTACAGAGTGCTAGCCTATGCCCTCAGGCGACGCACTCAGCACCCGCAGCGCACACACGTACAGTGAATGCACCTGACTCTCGCCTACCTACAAAATCGCATACCTGCAGAGTGCTGCCTATGCCCTCAGACGACACACTCAGCACCCGCAGCACACACACCGCCAGCAGCGCCATATCGTCCACACACCTCACCAGACACTGCATCACCTGCGTCTGCAGAACACTCACATCCACCGCTTGTTCGTCGTGCACACCCTTCTGTACCCCGCTATCTCCCTCCTCGGATGGGCTATGCTTCTCCTTCGTTTGGCCCGTTTCTACACCCCCATCGGTGTCCGGGTTGACCCCCGGGTCACTGCAACTGTCCAGCCACTGCCTAGACTCTCTACCCACCGCCAGCATGGCCTCCGAGTCCGTCACAGCCAAACCAAAGGCACTCAGCTGCTTAAACACACGTGCTATATCCACGGGCGTGTCCTCACTCTCGTCTCTGTGTTCAATGTCGAGCATCTCTAGGACACTCTCCATGCGGTCGTCCACTGTGGCGCGTGTGGCTTGCTTCATGGCGACTAACTGCAGACGGGTAGAAGGAGAGACTCGGGTGAGTGGGTGAGTGTGGGTATGGGAGTGCTATACAGGCACACGTGCGACAGGGACGATAACCAACCCGGTATGCATACAAACATGTATTTCACAAACGGACACACACCCAAATGAATACGCAAGCTGATCCAGTTACGTAGTAGTGGAGATAAGGTTAGGTTATATACGCATGTTGACACAGGTACGTAGTAGTGAAGAACAGGATAGGTTATATACGCATGTTGACGCAGATACGTAGTAGTGGAGATAAGGTTAGGTTGTAAACGCATGCTGACAAAGATACGTAGTAGTGGAGAACGGTTAGGTCATATACGCATGTTGACACAGATACGTAGTAGTGGAGATAAGAATAGGTTATATACGCATGTTGACACAGATGCGTAGTAATGGAGATAAGGTTAGGTTGTACACGCATGATGACACAGATACGTAGTAGTGGAGAACGGTTAGGTCATATACGCATGTTGACACAGGTACGTAGTAGTGGAGATAAGAATAGGTTATATACGCATGTTGACACAGATGCGTAGTAATGGAGATAAGTATATACGCATGCTGACACAGACACGTAGTAGTGGAGATAAGTTTAGGTTATATACTCA